CCCTGCCCCTCCCTCCCCACCGCAGAGGCGAGCTGGGAGGGGCGCAGGAGCGCGGCGGCGGCAGCCGATGGGAGCACACGCTGCCCGGCGCTGCACGGCCAGCGCGGGAGCGGAGCGCCCGGCCTGCGCACGGCGCCGCGGAGCGCGGCGCACCCCGCCCCGCGCGCGACTGCACACCTTCGACCCCCCCACCCGGCCTCACGGATGAGCGACAGCTATCGGGGCCAATAGGACCGCCCCTTCTACGCAGTGGGGCGGGCACTCCCTGTCCGGCGGACCAATGGCAACACAGCTGCCTGAGCAGTGGCGTCCGCGAAGGGGGGGCCGGAGGAGGGGCAGGAGTTTAGGAAGAGGAGGGAATGGCTGTCATCAATGAAGTCATGTTCGTAATCTAGTCCCTCGCTCCGGTTCTGGATTCGGGTGACTCACTGACGGGGGAGAGGAGCGACAGTCAGCGCGGCGCTCCGCCCGGGCGGAAGGTAAATACAACTTGCAACTCGGTCCAGCCCCGCCAGCTCCCCGTGCCCGGCACTGTCCTTTATTGTCAGCGGCTGTTCCGGCTCGCACCGTGCCCACCTTTCCCTCTCACCATCGCTCCCCTTCCCCGCGCACGGCCCCGCCGGTCCCAGCCGCCGCCGTGCCACCTGCTTCCTCTCCCCACCTTCCCCGGTGCCCGGCCCTCCCGAATATTTATATACCCCAGTGGGTGGAGAGAAGAAAGTTTTGATCCGGTATTATTCTGGAATAATCACGATGCGGATCTCTGGAGTGGGAGCGACAGAACCCCCACGGAGTCGCCGGTGGCTGACTCGTGAGTCAGCGGCACTCTCGGTCTTGCAGCCCAGCGAGCGTGTCACGGGCTGCGGGCGAAGCGGCCACGGAAGAAACAGATCCTTGGGGAGCGACAGCCCACACGGACGGGCCGTGGGCGGCTCCGCCGCAGCTGCTGGGGGTCGCAGGGTGAAGTTCAGGGTGTCCGGAGGCAGCAGAGCGCGGCGCGGTGGGGCCATTTCTCCGCCGTGGCACACGCTGGCGCAGACCCAGACGAGCAAGGGGAAGTGGGGAGGCATAGGGAGGGAGGAACATGGTGCATGGGGGAGCGGTCTCGCCTGCGAGGAGAGTAGCGGCATTCCCCGGCAGAGCCAGGGAGGCCATGATCCGGATCATCTCGCTGCCTGCCTGTCACGAAAATTGCACACAACGGGGAGGGGGAAGAAGCGGGGGCTGGGACTTTAGCCCAACAAGGCTGTGGCTCCTGTTGCTTTTCGGTTTCTTGTTTTTAACTGTGCAGTCACTCCTGCTGCAAAGGTGTCGCGGTTTTCTTCCCAAAATAGCTTACATGTCGTCGTACCCCTCCCGTTTTCCCTGCAGAAATTCGCCCCCCTCCTCCTCTCCACCTCCAAGCAGAGTAGCACAAAACATGCGCTTACAATTTTGGAATAGTCTGCCAAGCAAAAAAGCGTTTTATTTCCGGTGTGCGCGGAAATTTATTTTTTTTAACCCGGCCGGGCGGGAGCGAGGATGCACAGGCGCGCGGATGCTCAGGTAGCTGCGGCTCGCCTGCCCCTATGTCGAGAAAGGGGACGGCGGTGTTTGGCACCTGAAAAAGTTCTGTGCCCAGCCGGAGGCGGGGGTGGGCGACAGAGCGCTGCTGCAGGCAGCTGCCGGGCGGGGCCGAGGGCAGTGGAGCCCGTCCCCGGGCCGCTGCGGGGCAGAGGCGGGAGGCGACGGCGGCGGCGGGGGGAGGATAGGAGGGTAGGTGGCCTTTCTCGTCCCTCCGCCTGTACAAGCGGCGGCGGATCAGGAAGTCACCGCCGCCACACACAGGCGCACAGACATGTTTGGTCGGTGTGACATGGTGGCGGAGGGGAGAAGAGGCGGGGAGACGGGCCCAGCCCAGTCCTGAGGCATGACCCGGCTGCTCGCCCGGCCGCCCGCCCGCCCGCCTGCGGCCGAGGTACGGGGCCGTGCGCGGGCAGCGCCGTCAGCAGCGCACCCGCTGCTTCATGTAGGGGCGGGGACAGGCGGCAGCGGGGCCGCATTTCCAGGCAGGGACGTTTTACAGCCTGTCGGCCGGGGAGAAAACTTTCCAGAAAGGCTGGAGGGGGGAAACAGGGCCCTGCTGGTTGTGCGCGCCTGCCCCGGCGCTTTCGCGGGGGAGGCGGCGGGCGGCCCGGCGCCGAGGCCTGCGCGCCGCCCCGTCCTGCAGGGCCCGAGCACCCGAGGGCTGAGCAGCGGTGCTGCCGCGGAGGGAGGGAGCGGCCGCCCTTGCCCCGCCGCTTCCTAGGGCTCCCGGGTCGCGGGTCCTCCGCACGACTCTTCCTTGTGTCCGCGGTGCGTGCAGAAATGGAGTTTCTTACGTTGTCTCCTCCCCTCTTAAATTTATAATGGTGGAACTACAAACTGCGCACGGCTGGAAAAGTTGCAGCTCTTCTAAACTCGATCTGAAGTTACAGTTGAACGATTGGCTTGGGTTGTTTTCTCTTTTGGTTTTTCCCCTGAGCGTGCGTTATGGTCAAGTAAAGGGAGCGTAAAATTATCTGCAGATTACATACATCGTTCCGAAGTTGTTTTTTTCTTGGTATCTGCTTCTTATGTTTCGTATTAACACTTGCCGAACTTTACGTTAACGCTGTTCGTTTAGGATGTACTTTTATGAATATTTATGTGAGTATGAATATGCAAGTAAATAACCAGCTGAAGAATTGAAGGTAAAAATTCTTGCTGGATTTTCGGTTTTTTGTTTGGTCAGGTTTTTCACCGCTTTAGGTATTCTGAATGCTTTCAGTGAAGAATTGATCTGAGGTCTGCGACACGGCGTTGTTCCGTTTTAATTTTCTCCTGTTTCGCTTTAACTTTCTGAAGTGTTCCGCGATTTTAACCACAGCCCCTAAGACTCAAACGATAAACACTGTACCAGAATTTAATTCCTTTGGTAGTATACCAGTTATTTGTTCGGGGTGGGGCAGTCTCCTCTGTGCAAATTACTATTGTTGTGCAAATACGAGCACACTTTCTCTTTGGGAACCTAATTGCCCTATTACTGTCTCTGACTTTGTTTCTTTTGTCCTTTTGTGATTCTGAGGAAAAAAAAGTGTGTCAGAAGGATAGGCTTGCCTCAAGGCAGGTTTTTTTAATGCATCTATCTATGTATGTATATATATGCATATTTATGTGTATATATATATATATGTATGTATATATAGTGTAGTATCAGAAATAGAAAGCAAAAAGACTGTATGGATAGTGAGCTTTTAAAATTTAGAGTGGATCATAGAGCGTATGTCGACTTGCCAGAGGTGAGGGTAAATCTTCATTGAGAACATTATATCTCTCATGAGTTGTGTCTCAGCTTAAGACTGGTATCTCTGTGCTGTTGCATGGAACATGTGCCAAAAGAGTGTGTTCAAAGCAGTCTTAGATATTTTCTTTTGTTCATTTCTGAAGTAGTCTATGAACGTATGTCGAGTTTGAAAATGCTTTCACCAGCACTTGAGGCTTAAAAATTGACAAAAGTCCTTCATCTGACATACTTACATTACATATATTCATGACAAGGGTGTGTTTGAATTTAGTCTCTGGATATATTTTTCTCAGTTTTTGTTGGACTTTTGAAGTTAAGATGAGAATGTGCACAGTAGCTACTTAAAAATGTCTACATATATGTAGTATACCTCTGGCTTTTGTCCTCCTGATGAGTAGTACTGCTGTGAACTACAAGTGATCCTTTTCAGAAGGTAGCTTCTCATTCTTTGTATGATTTAGAAAATTTTTTGCAAATTACTCACCAACGTGTCCTTTACACTTCTGTGTGTTTCCTGCTGCAGTCGAAGTTCTCAGTGTGTAACAGGTGTTTCCTGGACCTCATGACTTTAGGACTTTATCAGATTAGGTTGTTGTTGTTTTGGTTTTTTTTTATTCTCTAGTGGAATAGTAAACATGACATTGTGGCATAAAGATCACTTGTCATAATATTGGCATTAGAGAAAAGCTCTTGTCTTATTTCCAAGATAAAAGAAAGAGGGATGAATAAGGGAAGGAAGTAAAGCTTTCTTAAACACAGCTTTGATAGTTTGTAAATATAGCAGAATAAGAAGACTAACACTGGAAATGATTTTCTTTGTTTCTGACACATCAGAAAGTAATTTCTTGTTAGGCATTAACATTTTCCTGTTTGTCTCCACTTGGAAGAGAATATTTCTTATTTATCACTTCAGAGTCTGAGCACCTAGGTGGATGATTTAGAGGTGAGACATTGGAGAAAATGTTAAAAATAAGTTTGTTCTTACAGAAAATATATGTTTGTCATATATATTCTCACTGATATTTTACCACAAGTATTTAAAACAATCTTCTTCCTTCTTCCTGTTCTTCTCCCCTGTTTAAGTAAAGACAAGGCCTGTCGGTGATACGGTGCATTCATTTCCTTCTGCCTGCATCTCTTACAGCTTTTTATTTAGAAACTAATGAGAAGACAATGTTCAATTACTGTGATTAATACCTGTAGTAAAGCTCACAGTATGAAAACTTAATCCGTGACCATTCAGTAGTGTCCTGTATCAGTTTTCTGTGCCTGAAATTTACAGTGGAATCTACATATGTAGCAATGTGGGTTTGATCTTACACATTGTCTGATGGCAGTTATAACTGCATCTGTCTGCTCTCCTCTTTTCCTGAAGGTTATTGTCTTCTGCAGCAAAGCTATCAGAAGGGATCGTATGTCTGTGCTTAGCGTCTTCACAGTAAAGTCTGGCAGCATAGCTTAGCCTAACTTGTGTGCGCTCCGATTTGTGATTATGCCTTTTGACAGTCTGGAGTACTTTCAACTCCCAGCTGTTAACAAGTCATTTTTCTGCTGTTAGTTTTTGATGATAGTTTTTCCTGAGAGGGTAAGCTTTAAGCTAGAGCAGTTGAGAAAAGTTGAACTTTGTGTAAAGCTGAAACATCTATGCAGTAGGAGTAAGAATTTC